ACTCAATTTCCCTTCAACAAGATACACTCCCCTTCACCTCACTCTTATCAATTCCTAAATGATGATGACTTTCACCCCTACCTTATACATCAGTGGCAAAATCAAATTTCCCCACCTGTTGCACATAACCAACCAACACCCACAATCACAATTGACCAGCCACTACCCTCAATAAACCAACAATCATCATCTCCTACCTCTTCGATCAACAAACCCATTACAAGTAACTCTCCATCAACACCACCAAGTCAACCGCATCCACCTCAACCTACACGAACCATCACCACCAGAAGCATGAAAGGCATTGTCAAACCCCACACGATATTTAACTTATCAATCTCTCACTCTGACCACACCATCTCTCCCATACCTAAAAACCCCAGACTAGCCTTATCAGACCCGAATTGGAAATCCGCAATGCAATATGAATTTGATGCTCTTATTTGAAATAAGACGTGGGATTTAGTCCCTCGTCCTTGTGATGCTAATCTTATTCGATGTATGTGGATTTTTAGACATAAGAAAAATTCTAATGGCTCCTTTGAGCGTTATAAGGCTCGTCTTGTTGGTGATGGCAGGTCACAGGTTGCAGGTGTGGATTGTGACGAAACTTTCAGCCCCGTAGTGAAACCCGCTACCATTCGAACAGTGCTTACCATTGCTCTCTCCAAATCCTGGCCCATTCATCAACTGGATGTCCAGAATGCTTTTTTACATGGTGATCTTCAGGAGACTGTTTACATGCATCATCCATTGGGTTTCCGCGACCTCCGTCATCCAGATTATGTATGTCAGTTGAAGAAGTCATTATACGGTCTCAAGCAAGCGCCTAGGGCATGGTACCAACGTTTTGCTGACTATGTCGCCACCATTGGTTTTCGCCATAGCACATCAGACCACTCCCTCTTTATATATCGCCAAGGTTTAGACATGGCCTACATTCTACTGTATGTAGACGACATTATCCTTATCACCTCCACTCAGGTCCTCCGCAAATCAATTATGTCACTCTTAGCATCTGAGTTTGCAATGAATGATTTGGGCCCTCTGAGTTACTTTCTGGGTATTGCAGTATCTCTTCATCCTGATGGCATATTTCTCAGTCAAAGCACTTATGCTTCAGAGATCATTGAACGTGCTGGCATGACGTCCTGTAAACCATCAGCCACTCCTGTTGACACCAAGCAGAAACTTAGCACCTCCTCCGGCACTTCTTATGAGGATCCATCCTTGTATCGGAGTCTTGCAGGGGCCCTACAGTATCTCACCTTCACTCGACCTGACATATCATATGCTGTCCAGCAAGTTTGTCTTCACATGCATGCCCCTCGCACAGAACACATGCTTGCTCTTAAGCGCATTTTGCGCTATGTTCAGGGAACTTTACATTTTGGACTACATTTATCCCCATCTCCCATTACAAAGCTTATCTCCTACACTGACGCTGATTGGGGTGGATGTCCTGACACCAGACGTTCCACTTCTGGTTACTGTGTTTTTCTAGGTGACAACCTTATTTCTTGGTCTTCCAAAAGGCAGCCAACACTCTCCCGTTCCAGTGCTGAAGCCGAATATAGGGGGGTTGCGAATGTTGTCTCCGAATCGTGTTGGATTCGCAACCTTCTTCTGGAACTCCATTTTCCTATTCCTCAAGCCACTTTGGTGTATTGTGACAATGTTAGTGCCATCTATCTATCTGGTAATCCTGTGCAGCATCAGCGCACTAAGCATATTGAGATGGACATTCATTTTGTTCGGGAAAAAGTGGCTCGTGGTCAGGCTTGCGTCCTTCATGTTCCCTCAAGACATCAGATCACAGATATCTTCACCAAAGGACTTCCTCGCATTCTCTTTGATGATTTTCGGACCAGTCTAAGCGTCCGTGAACCTCCCGCTTCGACTGCGGGGGTGTGATAGAATAGAATATCTTGTTGTAATTAGTCATAATTAATTTCCTATAATTAGGTTGTATCATTATTAGATAGTTGACCAAAGGTTACACATTGATGTATATATATTCTATTCAGATTAATGAGAAAGACAACAATTCAATTATCTTACATTTCTATCCTCCTGTTTTTTTTTATCTTTTAATTTTATAGAAAAAACCCAAGTTTTTGATTCAAATTTGATTAATTGACACTAAAATTAAAATGTTATTGGGTATCACATCACATAATTTTATTATGAAAATATTTTTAAAATTAAAAAATAATTTTAAATATGCAACACAGCAAAATTGTGTGACATAACACTATTTTATATATGTATATATACATATATATATATATATATATATATATATATATATATATATATATATATATATATATATATATATATATATATATATATATATATATATATATATATATATATATATATATATATATATACATATATATATATATATATATATATATATATATATATATATATATATATATATATATATATATATATATATATATATATCCAAAAAATTTTTTTTATAGAAAGTAAAAGATTTAAAAAATTAAAATAAGTGATGAAAAGTGTATTAAAATCTAAAATTTGTTACCTACTAAAATAAAGAATGAGATGCATTTTATCTAGAGTTGAAAATGAGTCGAGCTGAGTTGAACTCGTCTGAGTTTGACTCGACTCGATAAAAATTGTTTCAGCTTAGAACTTGTCTTGAGTTTGATACTTTTTTTTTTTTGAAGTTCAAACATGATTCATTTTAAGTTTACGACAACTCGGTTCAATTAGTTAGTTTCAGTTCGTTACGTTTATCTTGTTTTTTTTACAGATTTATAAATCATTTTTTTAAAGTTTAATTTTTTTATCTATTTGATATTTTAAATTAATATTTTTAATAAGAAAATATTGAAATAATATATGTAATCTTGATATTGAAGTTAATATCACTTTTTCTTAATATATAATCGAGTTGAATCATTAATCTAACAAGTCAAGTTATTTATAGTTTAAATTCAACTCATTTAATTAACTAACTTAATTTTTTGCTTCATGAACAAGTCCAAAAATTTAATTGTCCATTCGAATTTTGAACTATATTCAAGTTCCTTCGGTTTATTATCAACCTTAATTTTTTCTCTTAAAAGAAGAATTATTTACAACTTAATCAATGGATTGTTTCTTCAATTATTCATGATGAGATACACTATTTAAATTACAAGATCTCTATGCCTCTAACCAAATAAAAATATAGGACATGCTAATGAGTCTCTTGAGGCACTTTTTAACCCTTCTAAATAAAGAAAATATTTTTAAAAAAATATATTTCTAAAACAATTTTTTTTTTAATTCTTAAAAAATATCTCTAAAGCATTAGTTAGCATTTCCTCTGAAATATGTGAGTATGAAACCAAACTAATACTATGATGATGTAAGTTAGGTAAGAATCCCCATTATGACAAGCCAATAACACATAATACGTGCTTGGTTCTTACCAAATTTAGTTGATTCTAATCATATCAAGAAGCATATTAATCAATGATATATGGGAGGAAATTCATGCAAGCATGCTCATAAAATAGTTAGTCATGGTCAAAGAAACTATAATGACTAGTGATCATGATTGCAACAATGATGATGTGACCACCACTTTCAGTCCCCCACTAAAGAGTATATACTATTTTATGCTTTATGGGTTATCTCATGGCTTCGTTGAATCTCAAAAGGTTTATTAGTTCTTTCACAACCTAGAGGGTCAGTTTTAGTTACTAACTGGCCAATTCATACGAGAACATAATTCGATTCAATAATTATAGAACAAGAAAAACGAATTTTTAGACAAGTAGTTAAGAAATTTGAGTATAAAGGAGGTTGAAAATGACCTCCATATAATAAATCTATTTCAATTAAGTCAACTAGATACTTAAATAATTAACACGAAAACAAAGAAACTTACTCAAGAATTTACCTCCATATAATAAATCTAATAAATATATGTTCAATTAGTCAGTCCCGTTTTACCGCTATTTGGTCATGTATGTTTTAAGAATTTCACATCAGATGAAAATATGCTAACTAATTTTATAGGGATTAGTTAGAAGCAAACATATCTTACAACCAAAGATCTTTATTATTTCTTGTTTATCTGTTCTGCTTTTTGGTCGGGTTTGTAAATTATAATGCACATAATTTTGCTACCAATAATAACACATTGAGTACTTCCACCCACAATAGGTCAATGACAAATCACTACTTATATGAAAACAAAAACAAGCGCATGCATAACCTTAATTATTTGCGACAACATTCCAATTCCAATTCATTTTTTAACATATATTCATTAAGGACGAGATTATGTTCGTGGATACAAATAAATATGACAAATTATTACAATATTGTTTTGTCAGACATGTGAAAATACCAAGAATATATCTGTAACAATGTCTTGGGACCCAATGAAATGATCTACTTAAGATGAACATAGCCGCGTTTGGCTGAATCATAGCCAAAGACAGCACAATTGGCCCTACCATGGCTTTAAATTTTGTCATGGTCGCAAATACTCAGCACAAATCGTTGTATTGCACGGAAAATACAGATAAATGCAGTTGATTCAACCGAAACTGTTGTGACGTTGTTGCAAAAGACTAAAATTTTCTTTTTATTGTGATTGAAATTGCCGTTGCAGTCTGCAATTTAAAACTATTGACCATACTATTCATCACTCACACATAAGATGAAATTGCAACCACCTTCGATATTTTGATAGTTAAATATGATTAATGCAACTACAATCTCATTCACAAAGATATAAAAAAAACAATGAAATCACAGTCATAATTGTAGACGCATTCCATTTTCTAATAACTAATGATATTTTGAAGCTTATTATTATCCATATATAACATGAACACTGCACATTTGTATTCATTGATTTTCCCTAGAAGTTACAAAGCTTTTACAAAGAGAAAAATACAGTATAATATGCTACACTCTAAATTTACCATTCACTGAGAAAAAAATGTAGAGAAAAAAAATACTCAATTCTTTTGAGTTGTGCTGCCATTGGTAGACCAAAACTTACTAAACATTCTTTTAGGCTTGGTAGGATGAGAACAAAAACCTTTAAATCTAGAATTTCTTCCAAATCCATCGCATACCACATGGTTACTCTCCTCGAAATCATCCTCGGCTATTTTCGTCCTAAGAGTTGATGAGTTCTTTGTTGATTTTGGTGCCTTGAATGAATTAACATTCCAATTACCATCGGTTTTTATGCTTGTAGATGTGCTTAATTGTGCTGCATGTGTCGATGGATCGTTTCCATAAGCAGTGAGTAATGCTTTGATGTTACTTGGCATTTTGGTTAGTTTGCCGTCTGATGCTGATGCTCTAGCTTGCTCAAAGAAGAGAACCTGGACAACGAGTCTTAGCGGTAGTAAGTCGTTCTGTGCAGCATGCGCACATGTTTTCATGGAGAGTTTTTTGCAGTCTAAAACTCGGCATAATCTCTTCCGTTCGGTCTTGTTGAGTTCTGGATGAGCCTGCATTTTTCAGGAAACATTGTATTAGAGATTATTCGAAATCTGTTATACGAACACAATGAGGTCACTTGGTCATGCTCAAGATATAGGACTCTCGAATATGTCATGTCCAAGACACAAGTTAAGTCTGTTAAGAGTTATACATCAGATGAGCTACCTATATTATCCAAATTAGGGATCTCAATTAATTGATCATAATCATATCAAAGACATATTCGATGGCAGACATATGTCATAATCAGACCAACATGCCACTGAAAACCATGTGATTATATTTGATCATTTCATTTTCTCAAATTATTACTAGTGCCGACGTATTGTCAGTGTTATGTTTGGTGTCTGACTTATTTTGCATACGTCGTATTGCGGTAATCATGAAAACAAAGTAAGTTCTTGAACTATTTACCTTGAGGTAAGTATCAATTGCACCATACAGATCATCATGCTCAAATCTTGCAAACTCAGGTACAGCTTCAGCAATAATGACGAACTTCTCCAGAGGCAAATTCACATCCTTAGCTATCTCTTGAAGATACCTATCAACAAGCTTCGCCACTTTCAATTTTGAACTATGCGATGCTGATGAAGATCTTCTACTCTCTTGCAATTCAAAACCAACATCCTCAGCCGAACGTGACCTCCTTTTATCAAATTCCAACCTCGATCTTACAGGACTAGTCGGCGGACTTTGACCTAATTGCAACATAAACTCTTCCAACAATGTCATCACCAGATCCACATCACCAACCAATAGAAAATCATTAACTGTTGCTTCCTCCAGCTGAAGTCCCGCCCTTTTAACTAACTCCGTCTTCGAAGACGAAGACGAATTCAAAACATTCGCTACTTTCAATAGATTAATCAGAAAGCTACACGAAACAGCGCCTTTTTCACCCGGAAGCAAATTCACTATCGATTCCAAAACCAAACTTTTCTTCAAAGAAGCTATTTCACTTCCCGAATCAGAATCAGAGCCAATTTTCGGTAACCATCTAAACGCATAAATTATCAAAGCATCACTGATGAGATTTAGCGGCATCCTCACATCAGATTTTAAAGCAATCATGATTCTCCAGTAAAGATCAATGCTCAACTCTGCTAAATCTTCACCCCACCATCTTTTTCTCATCGATTGTTCTCTCGAACTTTCTACTCCACTACAAGACACATCATCATCATTGCAAACCTTTCTTAAGACCTTTGAACAAACAGCTCCAATGCATCTATTCGTAATCGACAACTCCTCCGACCATAAATGCAACGCTTTCGTAGTTTGTAGCGCCACAATCGAATCTTTCCAACCGTAAAGTATGCACGAATTAAAGAAAACCTCAAGCTTATAGATCAAGTTACCCTTATCCGCGTCTTCCGTCATTTGCAAATACTCCGCAGCACATCTTGCAGCTACAATGTTGTAAGGACTTATAGTAATTGTAATCCTATAACAGAATTTCGCGCAGAGTTCAAACGCTTCAACTCCACCCGGAAAATCGGGTAATTGTACTATTTCACGATTCGTCGGCGAATCAAGTGACTCCGAACACAATCTTTGTAGATGCAAACATTTTGATAACAATGGAAACTGAAAATAATCAAAATCAAATATTTAGATACTTTAATCAACAATTAAAAAATCTACAACCCTTTGTTTGGTTCTGCTGTGAAAAAAATTTAATCGATTTTGAATATTTTCATAACAATTTTGTATCATAAACTTCAAAAAAAATTTTTAAAAATACCTTATGAAGATGATATGGAGTTTCTTTAACTTGAATTACGATGTCACTAGAAACATCCGAAGAAATTGACCTAAAAATAAACATTAAAAAAATTTCATGTTATTAATTAATATTACTTAGTATAAGCTAATATATAATCATAATCTAAACAGAGAAAGAAATAAAATAAAATAAAATTACCTTATTGAGTCTGTAGTGTAGAAGGTATCTGGACGAGAACCAAGTTTCATAAACTTCATAACTTTGTTAAATTTGAATGTTAATAATATCTTCTATTTGTTAAATCATATGCTATCTACTATATGAAGAATTTATTTATCATAAGTTTATTATAGTGTTGGAAAAATAATTGAAAAGTTGAAGAGATTTGAAGAGAGAAGAAAAACAAGAAGTTTGTTGTGGAACAAATAATGTAAAGTAGTTTAAATAAAGAGTGGCGGAAAGAAAAGGTTAATTAACGAAAGTTAGGATTTTAAAACAATTTGGAGTTATTTTATATATTGGAAATGGTAATAAGCTATAATTGGGTGGTTAAAGTGAAATGATATTTGTAATTTACTTGATTAAGGTTAAGCTGATGTGATTAGAGGGTTGTTGTTAGAGTACTTAACACAGTCTGTAGCGAAATAAGTACAATAACAAATTATGAGGAAAAAAATAATATGAAAAATGTATTAATAAAATATATGAAATCTTTCTTGAGTTGGAATAAACAATAATTTAAATAAAGAATTTGTTTGAACAAGATTAGGGGAGTGGATTTAGACGCTCTTCCACTACGAGTATGGATTCTGTTAATCATTCCTTGGGAAATTCGACCTCCCTTCCATTTCGAATATGGATTCTTCTAATAATTCATAGTTAAATTCGACTTGAAGAAATTATGCTATTATTATTTTTTATTCTTAACCTTTTTTTCTCTTTTTATTATACATCACTATCACATTTTTACATCTATTAAAAAAAATGTAATGACTAGATAAATAATATGTTTTTTTTTTAAAAGCAAATTCGAATTGATATGAATATAAGAGGTATTCAACTCTTACAAGACAAAAAGCCAACAATGAAATTTTCAACCAACACAACACTAGTTTAAACTCTTAAAGGATCCATACAAAATGTCAGAAAATTAGAGCTGAAATAAGGAATTTCACCTACACTAAACCATTTCCACACATAAAATTTTACATTCCAACAACACAAAATTTTACATTCTAACAAATGTCGTTAAAACAACATACTATGTTTCTAAAGATAAAGTCATTCCTAGCCCTCCAAAGACACCAAATATTAATCAACCAAATAGAATCGTACCTCGAATTCCCTCCTCTATATCTACCCGACCCACACAAGTCCACGAAGAACGACCAAATGCATCCCACAAAAGAACTGCTGCACCCGCACCAATCTCCCAAACTACTCCAAACAGAGGCTGCCATTAAGCACTCAAAGAATGAGTGCGTCAAATCTTCGTCCAAATCCTTACAAAAAACGCAGGTCCTATTCGAGATACCGACTCCTGTCTTCAAAACAAGATACTTTGTTCTAATTCTTTTCCAAAATAATCTCCATCCAAAGGTTTTGATTTTCGCCGACAATTTAATCTTCCACAAAGATTCAAAAGCATTCACCTGTTCAATTTGTAACAACTCCTGCTCCTTTCCTTCCCTCAAAGATTGATATACAGTTCTAGCATTAAATTCCTTAAAATTCCTAATTTCCAATGTAAATTATCCTTCGATTGCCAAACCAGGCAGGCTGCGTTGACAAAACTAATAATTCTTGAACAAAATCTACCTTGGTAAGCATGGTATCAATAGGAAGACCAAAATCTCCCCACTGCCAGATTGCATTGCACCGATTTCCCATCGAAAACACTGATGAATCTATACAAGAATTTCTCTCGTACAGAACTCGAAACTGGACAGGTAGAGAAGAGGACTTAATCCAATACGTCGTCCAAAAAGGTATTGTTTTACCTTCTCCAATAGAGTGTCCAATGGAACATGCAAAAGAAAAGCCAAGATTAGTTATAACCACCCCACTTCTGATTAAATCCTTCCACCAATAGGACACCGCCCCCTCCGGTTTATTAATCTTCAACAACATCTTATTCTCAATACAACCATATCTCCCTTTTAAAACTTCCTTCAGGACAAAAACTTTATCCTTCATCATCTTCCACTTCCATTTGGTTAGGAGTGCCAGATTGAATTCTTTCAAGCTAATAAAACCCACTCCCTTCTTCTTAGGCTGACAAACTACATCCCAACTAATCCAGTGTATTCTCAATTTATCTTCACAACCTTCCCACAAAAACATATTCCTAATCTTGTCAATACAACACAAGACCGAAGCAGGAACTTTGCAAAAAGAAAGCCAGACGATAGGTAAGCTAGATAAAACATAATTGATCAAAGTCAACCAACCCTCCATAGATAAGAACTTCCCTCTCCAAGAAGCCAATCTAGATTTAAACTTTTTGACAAAAGGATCCCAAGTTTTAACTCTACATAGATTGTATCCAATAAGGATTCCCAAGAAACAAAAAGAAGGACAACCAATCATACAAGATAAAAATTCCGATGGAGCTAAAAGGAAATGTTTACTCACATTTGTTGAAAGTGTTTTTGGTGGGTATTCGTTTTAGCGTCTCCACAGGGATTATTGTGATATCACCGCCGTTCTACAGTTTATAAAGTCTTAAGTGAGGGTTTTAGAATAGTTTTGTTTGGTATCATAAATTTCACAAGAGTTTTGTAGCAAAGAGTAAAGTTTAGAAATATGTTTGTTTTAAAAGACATATCAAGAATAGATTTCATCAACCTATTTTGCATGTATTCAATTAGTCAAGCATGTGAACTTTGTTACGATCAATATAATCATGTATCCTCTTAATACTATTTATATCTAAAGCGATATCGTGAATATTATCGTACTAATCACTAGATGATGTCTCATGCTAACAATCAACACAATAATCTTAAAGCTTGATACAAAGTGAATATCAACTCACAAATCTATGTCTAGAGTTTGTTCATTGATAGATGAATAACTTAGGTCAAGGTTTGAAAAATACCTTTCAATAGTGATTCAAATTAAATGTATAACATAAAAAGCAAAGATATTCATCCAAAAGGGCAACAAAATTACATAAATATGTTCACAATCAGCGCAGGCTCACCTAGCGAGCTCTACCCAGCACAACGAGGTCAACTTTTAGGCACTTTAAGTGCCTCAGAAAACTTAAACCTCCCTGAAGAAAATATCTTAGCTTACCTAGCAAGCTATAGCTCGTACTGCGAGCACAGTTCCCTCAAGCTCGCATAACGACCATGGAAAAATTTATCTACTTCCTCTACAATAACATGCCTCACTTTCCCATCGCCTAAGGTCACCTAGCAACCTCGCTTCCCCATCGCCAGAGCTCGCACAACGAGCTAGATGAAACATTCCTTGTTTGCTTTGGCTTCCTTTTTCATTCTTTTGTGTCTCTTTCTTTGATGATTATGCCTAACTCCTACACACTAGCGCACAAATAAGGAAATCCAAAGGCTCATGCAATTATAATGGAAATTTACACAATCTTATGGAATTAAACATCTAAATTAGGTTATTATGGAATTAAACATCTAAACTAGTTCCAGGACATGTTATACCATATAGTTAGGACATGACTATTTTAATAATTTTAGTGTGAATTTTGAGTGTGTTCTGATGGACACGTGGGCAACTGTTATGGGAGAATATTGTGGAAATTTCGGTTATTGTGGAAATTTTCATAAAAAGGATCCTTGAGCCTTTTTAGGAAAGTTTGTATTTTTCTCCTAATATTTTGCAGGTTAATTTACAGTCAGTTTATACTGATTGCTGCTATTTGTGCTGCTATTTGTGCGCCTCAAGAAGCCCAAGTCCAATAGGTCTGAAGGCTATTTAAAGAGAAGAAAACCCCTATTAGATAAGGAGAGTGTATCGTGAGAATTTAGAGAATAAGGATTAGTTGTTGTTTTGGTTGGTCCCTAGGGTTTTCATTTGTTAATTGTATGTCACCCATGTATCTTCTGATGCATTGATTTTGACTAATTTTTCATTGTTCACTTGAAGATTTTAAGCAAAGAGTGTATTGTTCTTGATTGAAGCTTTTAAGCAAGATTAAGTATTATTTTGGAAGTGTGATATTCTATTGTTTGTTTTGTATACAGTCACTGAGATTGGGACTATTTAATATCACTGAGCTGATTTAGGAAGTGAGAGAGGATTCTCATATCTAGATGGTGAATTCTAGGTAGAAGTTGCACTAGGTAGGGATTAAGTGAGGAGTTGTAAATTGGGATTATTTAGCTTCTAATTAATATTACTAATAGTGGATTTCCTTCCTGGCTTGGTATCCCCCAGATGTATGTGAGTTGCACCAAATTAGGTTAACAACTTTGGTGTTATTTATTTTCTATATTTTCCAGTTTTTGATTTTGTATGTTCAAGCTGTGTTTAAATCCCAGTGTTGTGAAACCTGTCTCGACATCTGGTATCTGAGTGCCAGAATTTCAATTGACATCAGAGCAGGTCACCCTGTTCTGTTATTGGGTGAGCTCCAGGGAGTTTGTATTCTAGTACTATGGACAATGAAGGAGGAAGAAATGTTAATAGACCTCCAGTCTTGGACGACACTAATTATGAATATTGGAAGGCACGTATGGTTTCTTTCTTAAAGTCTATGGACAGCAAAATGAGGAAGGTTATCATTAAAGGTTGGGAACACCCTATGGTAAAGGATAAAGATGGAAAAGAAACCTTGAAGCCAGAAGAGGATTGGACCAAGGAGAAAGATGAGACAACTCTTGGAAACTCCAAAGCCTTGAATGCTTTGTTCAACGGAGTTGACAAGAATATGTTTAAGCTGATTAACACTTGTACTATGGCTAAGGATGCTTATGAAATTCTCAATACAACTCATTAAGGAACCTCCAAGGTTAAGATGTCAAGACTTCAGCTTGTCACTACCAAACTTAATAACTTAAAGATGAGGATGATGAGAATATTCATGACTTTCACATGAATATACTTGAAATAGCCAACGCCTTTAGTGTCTGGGAGACAAGATGTCATATGAGAAGTTGGTAAGGAAAATTCTTAAGTGTCATCCTAATATGTTTGACATGAAGGTCACTGCCATAGAGGAAGCCTAGAACATTAACAGTATGAGGGTTGATGAGTTAGTTGGATCACTTCAAACATT